TCATTTATTCTTCATGCTCTTAGGAAAAAACAAACAACAGCACACGAATGCCATTTAGGATTTTAGGTGTGGATTGTAAAGCCATGAGGTTCAAGCTGCTACATTACATTTACTTTCTGATGTTTGGCATGAAATTGCTGAATAAATAGAAAAATAAGTTTATTTTTCTTAAATGCCTGTTTATTATAATCACATTTTTCTTAACAGTTTTATCTTTGATTTTAATTTTTTTGCTAAATTATGTCCACATCCATAAATAATCAACTAGGCTTAGATACAACAATTAAGAGCTAGCCAGAATTTTAAAGCAAGGCTTAAGAAAAGCCTGGCTCAGAACCATCTCCAGATGCAGAAACGACGCTCTGCAAAGTAGTTCCTGTTCAGGTTAGCGAAGGTTAATGAGCTAATTTTATTCTGATATTCATTGGAACTTCTCTTTGTCTGGTGCAGGACTTACGCAGGCCGCTTTCCGGCCAAACTTCCTTTGTGCAGAATATTCTGCAGCGCTGCATGGCCTCAGTAACTGGACCTGCACTTCACTGAAACTAAGACATTCAATGATTTGGGTTCCTTGGGGTCCCCACTACAATCCCTCTGTAGTCAGTGTGGGCCTGGCTTAAAAAGTTATGAGAAATAAATCCCTCTAAATGTTTGCATCATTGTATCTGACTGTAGAACTTTAAATCACTTCAAACTAAAATGTTCTGATGGATTTACTGTCCTAAAGACTGTCAGCAATATAGAAACATCCCAGTGTGTTCCTCTACTCTCCAAAGCTCACAGATGTTTGAAGATTATTTCATGAGACATTTTCTCAGATATTGCTTAACATCCAAAGGTTTATCAGCTGCTGTAAACTTATTAAGTAAGCTAAAATAGGCAGGGTTTATCTAACTAGTAGCCACTGGAATAATTTGCATTTTAAACTGTTAAAGTTTATAATTTCATAAAACCTCAAAGATAAAATCAACAAAAATTTATTTATGCTTTGGAAAAGCAAAACATCTTTGGGTGTTGTTTATGAGTATTTTTTTTTATATCAAAAACCCATATATAACTCTCCTGTCTTAAAAGAATTTGACAGAAGTCACCAGATAGAATAAAATCTACTAATTTAAATAATTTATTTCCAGGGCATTTAGTAAATAGTTTTCTGACAGATATAAAAATGATGTGATTAATTAAAATATAAATAATCAACTGTCTTATTTTCTCCTACATCCACAGAGTGATGAAAATATTTACCTTAGGCAGCCTTCAGATCAGATGTGTTTCCTCCACCTGAGTGAAAGTGGTTGTCCTCTGCAATCACTCAGTCATCAGCGTATATAGTTACTGACAGGCTGCTGTTAGACACGCCTACCTCAGCTGTTCCTGAGAAACCAGGATCTGTTAACATGTTAAACTCAGAGGGGGTAGGACGTTGTTGCTGCCTGAAAATACACCACTTAGATACATCAAAAATATCTTCCCAGTGATCAAGCCTGAATTCAAACTTCTGGTAATTGTGTTAAGGTGCGTAAAGAATATTTCTATTGGAACCACAACTTCAACATGAAAAACTCACACAAACAAAGAAGATACAATATTAAAATCTTTGGCGCTCAGCAGGAAACATTAGCGCTGAAATGTACTATTTTGTTTATAGGCATGAGCTGATTAATGAGAATGAATTACTCCCCAAATTAGCTGAGCTGAGGCAGATGAGCCTCCACTTAAAAAAATTGGACATGCACAACCCTGTACCCACTCATGAGAGGGAAAGCCTATTAAACAAGTGCGAGAGCGTGCACAGGCCCATTTCTCCTCTGTTTAAAGGTTCCTGTTCCCATAGCTCATACAAGTTCACCGTGTCCAAACGTCCACCCTAACCCCTAAATCCCTCAATCACAATTTAGAGTGGACTTTATAGTGAACTTAGTTAACTTACCGTTCGGATAGATGAACACTGTTTTTTGAACCCCGTTGGTCACGTAACTCCTCCTACATCGCGCAGTGCCTGCGCCATCTTTGCTATTAGTTGCCACTGTTGGGGAGCGACAGCGGGTAGCGCTGTGACAACAAATTCCATAATACTTTGTGTGGAGAGCTCTCCGCACAAAGCATTCAGGGATATATCTGCCTCTTCTGAGGCATTTCTTTTCTTCTAAAATGGTTCGTAGACACTTTTTCTCTTATGAACCTCGGCCATTTTCAAAGAACTGCGGTGACAAAGCTTGAGCTTCATGACTGACTGAAACCGCAGCTCACCAAACATATGCCTGAAAATACGCACAGAGGAGAGACAAAGTGAAAAAGATTCTTTAAAATATATTATCTGATAATAATCTGCTAAAGTGAAACAATCTTTTGAGGGAGGAGAACTTGTTAAAGTAAACCTGAAGGTTATTAGAAAGTGGTCAGTGAGGACAGGGTTACGAGGAAATAATGTCTTTTCTTCACCTTATGCCGTATGTCAGCACAAGGTCCAAAGTATGAAGATGAGAATGTGTGGGACTATTCACGTTTTGAACAAAGCCAAGATAGCATTAAAGGCGGCACTTAGGCTATCACCTTCCCTGTAAGCATAGGTGTTAAAATCCCCTATTATTATGAACCTGTTAGTATTGAACACCAAATCAGATAGGAACTCGTAAAATTCCTCTAAAAATAGTAAAGACCTGGTGGACGAAATAAAGTTACAAAAAGAAGAGGTTTAGTAGCTTTGCAATTCGTATGAGGGAAACAAGGGTTAAAAGTTAAAAAGAGTTGTAATTACTAACTGCATTTAGAGTAATCAGTAAGTCAGACTGAAAGATTTTTGCTACTCCTCCTCCTTGCCCAGAATTTCTGGGTATGTGAAAATCTAAATCACTGGAAGGAGTTGCCTCATTTATGCTCCCATAATCCTCTTGCTGCCCTCTTGTTGCAAGTTTCTGTAAGGCAACATAAATAAATGTGATTATCACAAATCTGTCATGATCTTGGCACTGATTACTGGATTATTGGTGTATTTCATCTACCCTCCTGCCTCGCTCAATTTCCATTACCACTCATCAGATCCACCTGTTCCAGTTCCTATTTGAACTGCTTGGTCTTAGCCATCAGTGCCAGATTGTTCGATCCGTAGGTGAGAGTTCTAGTGTCTCCAAGTGTGTTTATTCTGATTGCCTGACCCTGACTAGTTTATAATCCTGAACTTCTGAGTTTGCCTGACCCTGTTCCGATCTGTTTGCCCGACCTGTCTTTGGACTTCCATTGGATTCTACCTGCTAACGACCTTGGATCTGTCTCCCAACCCGTGCTTGGATTTCCCTTTGGGGGCTCCTCTGATATCTAATATTCTGGCCTGGACTTCAGCTTCTTCATCGACACTAGCTTTGGATTCTCCTTCCGGATACTTCTGTTCTTCCTCGTTAGTTGGCATCTGCTTGTCAGTCGCACCTTTGGCTTCTACTAATGGAACTCTCTGGGCGGCTTCTGGCACATGCTGTGGAAAATCATCCGGCTGGATTCCACTACTTCCTCTGGGCTTAATAAACAGATTAGTGACTCACATACGCGTTATTGTTCCACATCTGAGTTACATGGTCACTAACCTGTGTTTCTCCCCTACAGAGATTCCAGCCATCTTGTCGTAGCGGTCGAGACGCAGACCTCCGTGCAATTAATAAACGCTATAAATAAATCACTTCAGTCTGTCTTCCTGAATTCTGCGTCCTGAAAAAATCAAATCATTAACTAACAGACTTTTTGAAGAAAGAGATCTTCTGTTAAATTAATCACATTTAACCGTTTAACCTTTTCCCCAATTGGAGCTATTCTAATTAGATTATCCTGGTTAACTCCTTTAGTGTCATGATGGTTTTAAGGTTCTTAGCCCACATGCAGAACACAACGGAGGCTGGGTAAAAGTTTAACAGAGTTTATTGAAAGTTTCAACAACACAAGATAATGTACTGGTTCTGGAACTGGTCTGGGCAGGTTCACTGAAGTCTGCAGAGATGATAGTTTGGTTAGTGGAGCAGGCAGATGAGTTATGAGTTCTTGATTATTCAGATTCTACCTTGACTGAGTCCAGGCTTCTCTTTGAGAGAGAGGGAACTGTTGGGTCCAGAGACTGTTGGTTCAGCAGAGGATACGACCAGCTGCAGCGTCTAACTTCTGACTTTGAATGGCAGACCTTGATATGAGTTTCCAGCTCTTCACCAAGAGCAGCAGGGGAATCCACATAGGAGTCTTCAGGTTTGGTTCCACAGGGCAGATTGGCAGGTTAAGCTCACCCAGAGCTTCAGGCTAGAGACAGGTTTCCTGTGAGGCAAAAACAGAGAAGAGTTAGAATCTGATCTCTCAACAGAGACAACTAGATTCTTTCAGTTTCAGAGGCTCAGGTTGCTAACCAAACTAAGGTCAACACTGCGGCGTCGAAGGAAGGTCTGGCAGCTGGTTATAAAGGAGACCTCTCCTGAAGAGTAGATGCGTCTCAGGTGTGCTGGAAAGCTCCAGCTCCAGGAGACCCACGGCGCACTCTGCTGGAGGAAGGTGGTACAGCTCCAGATCCCAACAGTACCCCCCTCTCAACGACCGGTCCAGAATATGACGACGGGAGGGAGCTCTCATATTCCTCGATAAGGGATGGATCAAGGATATACGAACCAGGAACCCATGTGCGGTCCTCCGGACCGTAGCCCTCCCAATCGATGAGGTACTGCCAACCGCGACCTCGCCGACGGGAGTCCACGATCCGGCGGACGGTGAAAGCTGGATGACCATCGATGTCCAGGGCGGGTGGAGGGGAGTCGGACGGTGGGCACAGGGGGCTAGAGACAACAGGTTTAATTTGGGAGACATGGAACGTGGGATGGATGCGAAGACTCGGAGGTAGGTGCAGACGGACAGCAGAGGGGTTGATGATCTGGGCTATTTTATATGGGCCAATGAACCGGGGGGACAGTTTCGGAGACATACCCTTGAGGGGAATGTCTCGTGTAGACAGCCATACCTCTTGGCCTATGGAGTAGTCAGGGGCCGGGCGTCTCTTGGAGTTTAGAGGAAGCTGATGAGCGGTTGAGGGTGGCGATAGTGTCCTTCCAGACTCTCTGACAACGGCGGATGTGATGTTGGACTGATCGGACTGAGATCTCTCTCTCGTCTGCAGGGAAAAGTGGAGGCTGATAACCGAGAGACACCTGGAACGGGGATAGACCAGTAGAAGCAGATTTTAATGAATTGTGGGCATATTCGATCCAGGTCAGAAACTGACTCCAGTCAGTTGGGTTGTTAGAGGTCAGGCAGCGGAGAGTGGACTCTAGTTGCTGATTCATTCTCTCCGTCTGCCCGTTAGACTGTGGGTGATAACCAGAGGTGAGAGAGGACTTACAGTTTAACGCAGAACAGAAGGCTTTCCAGACCTGTGAGATGAACTGTGGACCGCGGTCGGAGAGGATTTCTTGTGGGATGCCATGGAGTCGGAAAACATGCTTCACGAGAAGCTGGGCCGTCTAGAAAGCCGTGGGAAGTTTCCTGAGGGGGATTAAGTGACAAGCCTTGGAAAAACGGTCGACGATGGTTAAAATGGTGGACATACCTCTGGATATCGGAAGACCAGTGACAAAGTCTACTGCGATATGTGACCAAGGACGGGTTGGAACAGGTAGAGGATGCAGCAGGCCAGAAGGTGGTTGGTGAGAGGTTTTGTTTCTGGCGCAGATGGGGCATGCCAAAACGTACTCCTTAACGTCTTTGTGTAAGGATGGCCACCAGAAACGTCTTGTGATCAGGGCAATAGTTCTGCTTACTCCAGGATGGGCAGAAAATTTAGCAGCATGCATCCACTGGATCATTCGGGATCTGATGGGAGATGGAACATAGGTTTTATTTGGAGGACAATTACCTGGGTCAGGTTCAGAGGCTAGGGCAGCGTTGATGAGATCAGTGATCTCCCAGGAAACCACTCCAACAGTACAGGAGGCAGGGAGGACAGGCTCGGGTGTCTCAGGTTGGTCAGCGGAGTACAGACGAGAGAGAGAATCGGGCTTGACGTTCTTGGATCCAGGTCTGTAAGAGATAATGAGATTGAATGGGGAGAAGAATAATGACCATCTAGAATGATGTGGATTAGCTTGTTTGGCGGATTGGAGATAGGCCAGGTTCTTGTGGTCTGTCCAGACCAAAACTGGATGCTCGGCCCCCTCGAGCCAGTGTCTCCATTCCTCCAAGGCGAGTTTTATGGCAAGAAGTTTTCGGTCTCCAACATCATAGTTTTGCTCCGCAGGTGAGAGTCTACGTGAAAAAAAGGCACAGGGGTGAATCTTTTGGTCTGAGTCAAATTGTTGAGACAAAACAGCTCCAACACCGGAGTCTGATGCATCCACCTCTAAGATAAACTGTTTAGAGGGGTCTGGCTGGATAAGGATGGGTGATCTTGAAAACAGGTTCTTTAATCTTTCAAAAGCGCTCTGGGCTTCAGGTGTCCATTGAAAAGTCTTCTTTACAGAAGTCAGGGTTGTGAGAGGTAGAGCTGTTTGACTGTAATTTCTTATGAAGCGTCTGTAAAAGTTTGCAAACCCAAGGAATCTCTGAAGCCGTTGGCGGTTTTCAGGTGTCTGCCAGTCCAGAACTGCTTTTATCTTATCTTCGGATGGCTTAACCTGCCCGCCCTCGAGCACAAACCCTAGAAAAGTGACAGATGGTTGGTGAAATTCACATTTTTCTGCCTTCACAAAGAGCTTGTTTTCCAAAAGTCTCTGAAGAACCAGACGGACATGTTTCTTATGCTCTGATAGGTTCTTGGAGTAGATCAAAATATCATCGATGTACACAAAAACGAATAGATTCAAAAAATCTCTGAGGACGTCATTGACTAGAGCTTGAAAACAGGCAGGAGCGTTTGTGAGACCAAAAGGCATGACCAAATATTCAAATTGGCCTAAGGGAGTCTTAAAGGCTGTCTTCCATTCGTCTCCTTCTCTTATCCTAAGAAGGTGATAAGCATTTCTCAAATCGAGTTTGGTGAAAACAGTTGCACCCTGAACAGGTTCAAATGCTGATGCCAGTAATGGTAGGGGGTACTTATTCCTGATGGTTATGTGATTTAGGCCCCTGTAATCTATACAGGGGCGAAGGGAACCATCCTTTTTGCCCACAAAAAAGAAACCAGCACCAAGAGGAGAAGAAGATGGGCGGATTATCCCAGCAGCTAGAGATTCATTGATATACTTCTCCATGGTCTCACGTTCAGGCTTAGAGATGTTATAAAGTCTACTGCTGGGCAGGGGAGCTCCTGGTAATAATTCTATGGCGCAGTCATATGGTCTGTGAGGTGGAAGAGACGTCGCACTGACCTTACTGAAGACTGGTGCCAGATCATGATACTCGGGAGGAACAGAAGTAAGGTCAGGAGAGTCCATCTCCCCCCTACCTCTAGGGGACTGCACCGCAGGAGCTGCAGAACGAAGACATGTCTCGTGACAGGAAGTGGACCAAGACTCAATGTGGCGTTCAGCCCAATTAATATGGGGGTTATGACGTTCCAGCCACTCGAATCCCAGCACCAAGGGAGAGCATACAGAAGGAAAGACAAAAAACTTTAACGTCTCACAATGATTTCCAGAGATCAAAAGTTCTAGAGGTTGTGTTTGATGAGTGACTTGATAAAGTTTCTTTCCATCAATAGCGGAAACTCTAAGAGGTTTAGACAAAGGAACGGTTTCAATGTGTAATTGTTGGACCAGATTAGAATCAATGAGATTACTTTCACATCCAGATTCAATGAAAGCAGACACGGTGAGGTTCTGGTTAGAAAAGAAAAGAGTAGCAGGTAACATCAGATGAGGAGCCTTTTCAGTTTTCAGATGGCCCGTCAGACTCCTCAATTCCTCTGACGGGCCCTGGCTTTTGACTTAGCCGGACATGAAGCTATGAAATGGCCAGTCTCACCACAGTATAGACACAGATTGCCCCTAAATCGTCGTTGTCTTTCCTCAGGAGTTAGCCTTGTGTGTCCAATCTGCATGGGTTCGACCTCCGTTCCATCTGAGTGAGAGACTTGGACAGGCACAGAAAGAGTCTGGTTCTTAGACTTTGGCTTGGAACTGGGTTCTGCGGATCCAGAAAAAACAAAAGCATTATTTAATGCAGGAGCTGACACAGAAAAATTTAGACTTCTTTGTCTAGTGTTGTTTCTAGTTCGGAGCCTGTTATCCAATCTGATTGTTAAACGGATTAAATCCTCCAAACTAGTTGGTTCGTCGATCGTGGCTAGTTCATCCTTGATGTTTTCATTTAAGGCCTTAAAATAAGCACTTTTGAGTGCACATTCGTTCCAACCTGAGGCTGCGGCTTTGACCCGGAAGTCGATTGAGAACTCAGCCACTGTAGAATTTCCCTGTCTTAAATCTAGCAGGGCTCGGGAGTCAATAGTTTTATCTGAGTCGTGGTTAAATACTTGGGAAAACTCAGATATGAACTCGGAAAAAGTACAAGAAAAACTGGATTCTGAAGAGAACCTTGCCTCCGCCCATTCAAGGGCTCGTCCAGAGAGTTGAGAAAGAATGAATGATATTTTCTTTCTGTCATTTGCAAAACTGCCAGGAGAATGCTCAAAAAGTAATCGACATTGGAACAAAAATCCCTTACAATCTCTTGGGTTACCTGAAAATCTTTCAGGCGGACTAGGACGGAAATCAGGAGGTGACGTCACTGCCGGTGACCTCGGAGGCGGAAGTGGATCCGGAACTGGACGTACCGCTGGCGTGGCGTTAGCATTACCCATGTAGCTGGCATACGTTTGTAGTATTTGGTTCTGATGTTCAATCTTTGTGTGTAACTCACGGAGGGTATGCGCATGTCCAAGGATCTGAGCGTCCTGTTCCTCAAGCCTCCTCCGGAGGTGATCTGCTGGGCTTTGTGTTTGGCCGCAGTGTTCTGTCATGATGGGTTTAAGGTTCTTAGCCCACATGCAGAACACAACGGAGGCTGGGTAAAAGTTTAACAGAGTTTATTGAAAGTTTCAACAACACAAGATAACGTACTGGTTCTGGAACTGGTCCGGGCAGGTTCACTGAAGACTGCAGAGATGATAGTTTGGTTAGTGGAGCAGGCAGATGAGTTATGAGTTCTTGATTATTCAGATTCTACCTTGACTGAGTCCAGGCTTCTCTTTGAGAGAGAGGGAACTGTTGGGTCCAGAGACTGTTGGTTCAGCAGAGGATACGACCAGCTGCAGCGTCTAACTTCTGACTTTGAATGGCAGACCTTGATCTGAGTTTCCAGCTCTTCACCAAGAGCAGCAGGGGAATCCACATAGGAGTCTTCAGGTTTGGTTCACCAGGGCAGATTGGCAGGTTAAGCTCACCCAGAGCTTCAGGCTAGAGACAGGTTTCCTGTGAGGCAAAAACAGAGAAGAGTTAGAATCTGATCTCTCAACAGAGACAACTAGATTCTTTCAGTTTCAGAGGCTCAGGTTGCTAACCAAACTAAGGTCAACACTGCGGCGTCGAAGGAAGGTCTGGCAGCTGGTTATAAAGGGAAGGTCTCCTGAAGAGTAGATGCGTCTCAGGTGTGCTGGAAAACTCCAGCTCCAGGAGACCCACGGCGCACTCTGCTGGAGGAAGGTGGTACAGCTCCAGATCCCAACATTTAGGATTCTTTTCTAATTTAATTGATTTTGGTCGTGGGCCAGACACTGTCTGGATTGAGTAATGAGTGGGTGCAGAGAGGTGTGTTAAACTATAGCCCCATTTACACTACCCTTTTGAAACTGTGCCAAGATCAGTCGGAGGACGGTAACTTTAAATGTTGAGGGTAAACGGCACGCACACCTGAACCACACCACACCAGACACAACTGCACAAGGCTAAACTGGTACTAGTTCATCAGTACGGCTCGCCGCGGTTCAGTTCTGGCTCAGTTCTCATATAACAATAACAGATAAGAGCGCATGAGCAGACCGCGTCATCTCCTTACCGTCAGCCTCTGTAATAATGAAATTTCAGACATCCATAAAAGTAATAGCTTCCCTACCATGACACAGGTTTTCCAGTGATCATTCTGCTTAGCAACATGATGAGCCTCAACTTTCGTCTTTGTTTCCTGCGTCCTTAATCCCTGATTAGACTATTGTGTGTCGTATCCAATTCCCATAAGCCGACCATGTGAAGTAAATCCACCAAAAGCAGAATTTTGCCTGACTCGTCGCGAACAAAGAAATATCACAATCATAGCAAAATATAACTTTCTGAATGTCACGGGTGCCTCCATGTTGCCACTAGTAGGCGAGGATGCATAGTGTTTAAATAATTGTAAGTAACCGAGCTCGGCAGGGTTGCTTACAATCGGCAGGCTTGTCAGGGTTTTAGAGGACTAATACATTTGGCAAGGTTCCTAGAAAAAAACTGGGATAGATGCTGTCTCTCCAAATCAGACCAGGTATTTCCCAAAAAGATTGCCAATTATTAATGTAGCCCACGTTTTTTTTAGGACCCCACCTAGAGAATCAGCAGTTGAATGACGATATGCGGCTAAACATGTCATCACCGGTCAGATCAGGGACATGACCAGAGACATGACCGACATTGTTTTGGCAAACTTACAGAAGCAATACTAATTTTATTTTTTTTATAATTTACTGAATGCAGACAAAATAGAAGTTGATTAGTCAGTCACTTCATTGGATGGGAAAAAATAAATAAATTGATTTCAGATAATAAAGTAAAAAATCTTGGTGTTGTTTTTGATCAGGACCTGTCATTTAAATCCCAGATCAAAGAGGTTTCTAAAATTTCCTTCTTTCATCTGCAGAATGTTGCAAACATTAGAAATCTCCTGTCCAGGATTGATGCTGAGAAACTAGTCCATGCATTTGTTACTTCAAGGCTGGACTATTTTAATTCTTTACTATCAGGAAGTCCACAAACTGTAGTTAAAAGCCTTCAGCTGATCCAAAATGCTGCAGCCACAGTTCTGATGTTTGTTTGCTCCATGTTTATGTTAGTGCCGGCGCGCATCTAGCGGTCTTTCCAAACCTGAAAACCTCAATCTTTTCAAGATGGTTAAAA